AAGGGCAATCTTAAAATATTTCCCATGTTAAAAATTGGAAATATCATAATGGAGGGAATTAGGGCTGTTTACTGCTTAGTGGGACACAAATAGAAAAGATAAATGAGTGGATAAACAACTTATCTGGGATTGAGTAAATATCAGTCATAATTAATATCAGTTTGGCAATTCATATTTTACCCTTAAAGAATGGTTTGATAACTATGCCAAGTATAAGAAATTGACTGATAAGATACAAACCTTAGAAAAACTTACTATTCACAAAAAATACCAGCCTTAGAAAAGATTACAAGCCTTACAAATACTTACTAATGAAAATAATAAAAATTTGACTGATAAAATACAGGCCTTGGAAAAACTTACTAATAGAAATATTCAGACATAGACAGGGTAATTTAGAACAAAATATACCTCACTGTTACATTATGAAAATGAAGATGAGTGGTCCAAAGGTTATCAGAAAACCAACTTTAATTTGTCCAGTCACTATACAAGAAGAAACATCAAATGATAGGCATCATCAAGGTTATAGAAGAGCTTACTGGAATCCTGTTGAGATGTTAGATTCGAGAAGTTTTAAGGAAGCAATAATTTCATATGGTATGCATTCACCTTTTGTGAGGCACATGTTAAATTCATGGGCAACTAGTAACAGAATTATTCCATAAGACTGGAAAGATTTGGTTAGTCAGTATTGGAAGCTGGTCCTCAGTTACAATGGAAGACTTAGTGGAAAGATTAGGCTAGGGCCATAGAGCAACAAAGTAGGGCTAGAGGCACAAAGGAAGCCTTCTGTGATATTTTACAAAGATTGATTTCAGCTGTGAATAGAAAATGATATCAGATCCAGAAATTAGACAAATATTAATTGAATCTTTGGCTTTTGAAAATGCTAACTCTCAATGCAAAGGTTAATCAGGTCTTTAAAGGCAAGATTAGCACTCACAGATGAATGGATCCAAAATTCAGTCGATATTGAATTTCATACTCCTTATGATACTTGGATAAGAGAGGTAATTTCCAAAAACTTTAAGAAAATTAAAATGGCAGCTGTTTTAACTGTGGTAAATAAGGTCATTTAAAAAGGGATTGTAGGCAAGGTGTTCCTAGAAACAATGTTTTGTTATTTTTTGTTTTTGTTTTTTGTTTTTTGATAACCCAAACAGAAAAACAGAAGGCCCCAGTCATCTGGAGTTTTAGAAGGTGTGGTGAAGTCTGACATTAGACTAATGAATGCAGATCAACAAGGGACAGGCAAGGTAACCCTTTCCCATCAGGAAACACACCTTGGGTGGCCTCTCACAGGCCTATGTCAAATTTGGTACAGTCATTCCCTATCAGCATTGGGTGAACTCCTTCACAGAGCAATTCAAAGATTTAATGCTTCTTGTGAAAATCATACTACTATGGATAATAGAACAGCTTTAGAAATGAAACAAAATTTTCAGGAGAAACCATAAAGCTAATATTTAGCAAGTTTCTATAAATGATCAAAGACCAAAGTTAAAAATATGGATAAATGGCATTGGAATGGAGGATTTGGCAGATGAAGGGGTAGATATAACAATAATTGCACCAAAATCTTGGCATCCAAATTGGCCTTTTCAGGAGGTAAAAGTTCAGCCATACCAGTCTACATTCCAGCCTACAGTGAATAAGGGTGCCCCATATCCCAGCCAGCATTTGTAATTTATTTTCTTAATGATATTCATTTTGACAGGAGTAAGATGAAGTCTTGGCATAGTTTTAATTCAAATTTCTCCAAATTCTAGGGAATTTAAATAATTAAAAATACTGTGGTCATTTGTATTTATTCTTTTGAAAATATTATTTAATATTTTCTTTTCTTTCTTTCTGTTTATTTTTTCCAGTTCCTTACATATTCTAGATGTTAACTCTTGGATATACATCTGGGAAAGAGTGTATCTCCTTCTTTAGGCTTGTTAATTTGTTGATAGTCTCTTTTGCTGTCCAGAAAGTTTTTAAATTTCATATAATAGCATTTGTCTTTTCTTGGGCTTCTGTACTTTCAGCTTTATAGGTCTCAAATTAAGGGATCTTTGAATTATTCAAAATTTATTTTCATTCAGGTCTAGAGGCAAGAACATCCACCCATGGCTATGTTGGATTATGTTTGGGTTTTCTATAATATTTCATTGTTCTTCACATCTGTTTTTGTGTCAGTACAGTTTGTCACTTTGGCTCTGTATGATAGTTTGAGAACAAACCTCAGAATCCATGGGAAGAAGAGTGATCTGAGATAAAAACATCAAATGTCTTAAACAACCTATCTAAACACAGAGAAAGAAATAGATACTTAAACAAAGGAAGCATTTAGATGCCAAATAAATATGACCAGAAAATATATCTATATCATATCATAGTAGAGAAACCTAAATATTTAAAGCTGTCAGCAAAAAACAAAACACACACACACACACACACACACACACACACACACACACACAAACAAAAACAAAAAACCAACAGTGGTATAAATGCCAAAAAAATACTAAATTGTCATGAGCAACACTGAAAGCCAGGAATGATGTATTTAAAGATTTGAAATTAATTGTCAACTAAGACTGATGTACACAACAGTTACCTATTAAAATAGATGGAGACATTAGAATGTTTCAAAACACACACACACACACACACACACACACACACACACACACTTGAGGCAATTCTTGATAACTGAGCCACGATCTTAGAAAATGCATAGGAGAAACTCTACCCGCAAAGAGGAATGACAGCTCAACCCACAAGAAGACGGAAAGAATATACTTCATGAGAGCAATGGGCAAACAGAGGAGAACAGGGAAGAAAATCCAATCAGGTTCAGCACTGCAAACCAGGAAACATCCAATACAACTAGGAGATTAAGGAAAGACTGATCAATTGACCAATCAGAATGACAAAGAGTCAGGCGAGCAGCAGCAATGCCTTCCCATCACTTCCCCTGCCTTCTCAGGCACTCTATGAACACTTCTCGACTCTGACATTTTATAAATTTATCTAGTTACATTCCTTGCTCAAGATTTCCATTTCAAACATCTTATTTCTGTTACTAAAATTTCACTAGAAACTCTACAGGGAATACTGAATCCTGTATTTTACATACTGTGAAAAACAACTAAGATCTATTCCATGGTCTATTAGTCCCTGTGAATTTCAATCTAAGTGTAGGATACATTAACAATTCTAGTCAGTTGTCTAGGACTTTTGTGCCTTGAACAGCTTAAACAAAAGGGAGTGGGTTGTTTGTTTTTATGTTTGTTTGTTTGTTTTTAAGGTTATAAAGGAACACAAGTCTTCAAAAGAGCACAAAGTAACTCTCTCTGGGTAACTGGAGCTGAAGACTTCCCTTGTAAGTCTGTGGTTTTCTGGGCAAACATTCAACCTCGCATGGAGAACCAGCTGGGGAGTCTAAAACGAACTGTCTTTGTTTAGTTTAGACCCACGATGTTCTATTTCAGCCTTGAAAATAGCTACCTTTCTGACCAAACTATTTCTAAGTGTTTATTACATGTTTTCATATCTCTAGAGAAGTAGAATTGATGAAAATTTACGGACAACTTCTCAGTTTTGTAAAATATGTACTGAAATTGTGCTTTATGTAATATTTTACACACACACACACACACACACACACACATACACGTATGGATATAATATGGTTTTCTCACACAACATTTTACATGGTCGTGATCAACACCTTTGATTTGTCAAGTAATTTGTGTGGACAACTAATTAAACTGAGATATTATCAAAACTGTATTGAAATTACTGCTGATGAACACCAGAGAAAAGCAATTCAATATGGTTTACTTAACTATCTTTATCTGTACATATCATTTTAAAGAAAGTGTCTCATATATCCCAGGCAGCCTCATACTCTCTAGTGAAGTATGACCTAGAACTGTCTGCTTCTACCTCTAGAGTGCTAAGGTTACAGGGTCTGGCTACCACAACTAAGTTATGTCTATTACTTTGTTGTTGTTACACTTATTGTTGTTGCTGTTTCAACACAGGCCATATTTTGTGGCTTGGATTGTGGACCAGGCTGGCCTTGAAATCATAGCACTCTGCCTGCCTCAGCCTCCTAATCCAGAGATCACAGGTATGAGAAGCCACATCTGCAACCTACAAATATGCTGAACCTTCCTAAGGTGTAAAGAGCAGCTTCTTGCCTAAGCAGATGTGACTGATAAAGTTAGGAATGACTTTTGGCAGATCCAATGCCATCTAAGAAGCTATTAGAATCAGAGTAAAGCCTTGTTGGGAGCTTTTTTTGTTCATATAATGCTAGAATGTGTAGCTGTCTGTGTCCGTTAACACCTGTATTAAGCACTGCAATTGAGTAGAACCAGGAGAAACCATCTGAGACAGCATATCCATCAGAGTGATGAACACCCTACCTCAAAAAAAATTATGGCTTGTCCTTTTGTAACTGTTTTTCAATTTTTAGTCTACCAAAGGATGCTATGACTTTAATCATTTTTCAAAGGCTTTGATTAGACAAAAGACCTCCATTCTTACAGCCAAAGAAAGGCTACTTCCAGCTTATCCCTTAGATCAGTGCTATCTCAGACTCCATGGAAATTGAGATATTTTATTCCAGTGCAAGGCAATAAAGGAAGCTATTAGTAACATGGGCTATGAAGAACTCAATATGGCTAGTTGAACTGAGGAACTGAAACATTATTTTTATTCTATCTTAAATTTAAATGGTTGTGATACTGGCACAGTTTTGGGTCACAGTCGCAAACTGTTTTGTCTACTGTGAGTTTTCCTGAGTTGACATCTCAGGCTTTCTACAGCCGGCCGTCTATGGCCTCCATCAGAACTAATTGTATGTAGGCTGTACCTTAAACCAGTGGGCCATTTGTATAGGGGATACTGTAGCCACACCTGCTTAGGGGCGTGGTCAGAGTGATGTAGAGTGAGGGGCGTTCAGGTGGCTGGTTTCGGTTTCAGTTTTACTTTCGGCTTGCTGTAGAGACTGCTGCTGTGCCAGCTGGCTAGGTCGCTCTGTAAGTAAGGCTTTTTCCCTATTAAAATCCCTTGTATTTCTACCTGGCTCCATATTGGTAATTTCCCACATTACACTTGTTTGCATCCTTCCCCCTCAGCCACTGCTGTTTTGTCCAGTGGCAAATGAATCACTCTCCCAGTCTCTTGTGTCTGGTGGCTATCATAGTAACCCTCTTCAAATGCTTAGTGGTTCAGAACAGACATTTCTATTTTCTTTCTTTGATTAAGAAACTTCACAGCCAAAGTATTTGTTTTAACTTGATTATGAAAGTCATTTTCCCATAAACTCAATTCACTGGAAGTTCCTTTCCATAAGTGAATATTCAGTGGCACTGTGGTTTGCATGAGTGATGAGTGGTCCTCAAAGATAAATGTATTAAAGAGTTAGTCTCCAGAGTGCTGCTCTAGGAAGAGAGTGAGAATCCCAGATGTTGTTTAATGGTAAGTTCTTAGGCCATTGAAGGCTGGCCTTCAAAATGACCTTGTTCTATTCTGTCTGTGGCTTCTGCCTCCTGCTCATGAGATGAGTGGGTTATTCCACCATGCACTCCTGCAACAGAGTATTTAATACTCATTTTATTCCATAAATTTATAAAAGAAAGAATAGCGAAGGCTAAATTCCTCTAAGATTTTATATTGAAAGATTAATTTCAATTTAAATCAGTGTATATACTTATGTTTACATTATTCTTCCTTTGCTCTCTAGCAGAAAACAATCTTCCAATGTGTCTGTTATGTTGTTCAAAAGAGACACCTTTCTGCGGCATGACGAAAATGTCTCATGTGAGGATGGATTCTCCATCTCATCTTCCTTTTAGATCTCCAGCTAGATTCTACTGGAGCGGAATAGACTTAACAGAGAACCCTCTCACATTCTGCTGAAGGAAATGGGAGCTGATGGTGACATTAGGGGAAACAGAAACTTCAAGGAGCTCTTGACCCAGGCTGAGGCCTGTATCCTGCCTGTGCAGCACACATGGCCTCAGTATGTTAGAAGGTGAGCTTCAGAGCAAACTGCAGAGCACAGCTTGGAGGGCTGCCTTGTGTCTTGATGCAGACACACTCAGAAAGCCCTACCCAGCACACCATCCAACTCTATATCAACACAAAGTCTGCATCAACATAAAAGACTGTAACAGTTCTAAATTTCCCACCACACAATTGTGACAGCAAGCATATGGGTTCCAGTGCCCACCCATCTTCAGTCTACATGACTGTCACAATTGCCAGCAGCATGTGGATAATTTGTCATTAACTACAATAAGATCATTTAATGAAATCACAAAGACTTAGCTCATTTAAAAACTGTGTATGTTTGTGTGTTCACATGTAAGTGCTTGTGGTAATGAGAGATGTCCATGAAGTAGGCCAACATGGTTATGAAGTTTTTGGCTGAAGGTTGGATCACCATTACAATTCTGTCCCTGCTTTAATGATATTTTTCTTTCTTCCCTCTCTTCTCCTCCTCTTAACTTCTTTATCCACCATCCTCTATCTCTCTCTCCCTGCCTCATGTGTGTATATATGTATGTGTGCTAAAGTGTGCATGCATGTGTGCATATGTGTGTGTGTGTGAATGCATGCATGGGTGTGTGTGTGCCAGTGTGTACATGTGTGCCTGCGCGCGCGTGCGCGTGCGCGTGTGTGTGTGTGTGTGTGTGTGTGTGTGTGTGCATGCATGGATGGCTGCATATGTGTTTCCAGAATAACTGTTAGTGTGAGGGGAAAAACATCTGCTATACTCTGATTTAACTTCGTCTGGGATCAGAGTCTTTATTCCCAGCAAGGGAGTGCTTCCATGCTCTAGAAGAAAAAGAGGAAGGACTAAATGAATATCAAGCTTTCATTAATCAAACCTGACAAAACTGAGGAGTGGGCAACATACCTTACTTCATATTCTCTTCTTGGTATAGTAACTCTCCAAAGTATCTAATCGTCCAATTGCCTCTTAGAGTAGAATTCTCCTTCTCCATAGATTGTAGAAAAAATAGACACAGTAAATGGGGTAGGGGAATTACACACACACACATATACTGAGTGAGGATGGAGGGGGGATCAAAAAATGATGCACAATTATTACAGTATGTGATATTTGTTTTTTAAGGACCATAATCAGTGGGTATACTGAGCTCAGAGTGGTGAGAGGCAATTCACAGAGTCACTTCCACCACATGGCTCATCCACAAAGAACAAACCAGAGTCAAAGATGATTCTTTTTTTTTTTTTTTTACATACTCAACAATTTTTTATTTGAATTAGAAACAGGATTGTTTTACATGACAATCCAGTTCCCTTCTCCCTCCCGTCCTCCCCTATTACCTCCCCAAACTAAAACCCTACCTATCAAATATCCTTTCTGCTCCCCTGGATGGTGAGGCCTTCCATAGGGTGTCATCAGAGTCTGTTGTATCCTTTGGAATAGGGCCTAGGCTTGTTTGTTTCTCTCTGTGTTCACAGCTCTTCCTCGAGGGAGAAGGAGCAAGGCTACCACTGCTTAGGAGATGAAAACCACCCATTCCACTATCGGAACAAATTCCTTAGTGGGTCTATGATAACATGTTCTCAGCCTGTTGTACTAGCCAAGCTTAATGAGATGTAGACATGGTCAGAATTTTCTGTGTGGAAGTATTTCAAGGGTTGTTTTCATCATTTCTGTTACCTCAGATAATGTATAAAGAAAACAGGTATATTTGGCTCATAGTGTAAGCAGTTGAAAGTTCCAGGAGCATAGTGCTGGCTCTGGTAAGGTACCCTCCTTGCCCTATCACAGCATAGAGGATGACATTACAATGGGAATGCAGTGTGTGAGAGAGATCTCATGGTAAGACAGGAAGTCAGAGAGAGAGAGAGTAAGGAGGGTATAGTCTTGCATGAGTCTACTACTAGTTGGACTGCAACCAAGACAATTGTAGCAAGGCTCTGACCTAAGGTAAGTCAACACCTTACTTTGTAAGCGCCATGAAGACACTGCCCATCATTCCTCCGGATTGAATGAAGATACAAACTCAGAAATATAAACACAGTTGATGGATCAAAAAGCTAGTTGTACACAACATTTACTTTGTGCTGAACTAATGTGTTCCCTCAGGTAATCCTTACAACACTGTTGAGTAGGAAATGTGTTTTGTTCTCATTTTATACATTAGGAAGGGGAAGGAGACAAGGGTTAATGATTTTTTTCAAGGTCACATAGCTATTAAGTGACATAATTGGAATTCCAGGACAAATTATTTGAATCCATGCCTGAGAACACAACTACCATAATATATTCTCTTTCTAATTAATAATATGTGAAATCTATTTTTTTGAAAAACTAGATTTTATTATTAAGATGACAGGTTGAAAGATTGAAGTCAAGAATAGATAGACATACAAGGTAAAGAGTCTCACAGACCTCACCATACAGTAGCAGTGAAAATAACCCTGACCTTCTCAGGTGAGGGGAGGGTCATCCATTCTCCCTATCCTCTCTCATTGTTTCTCTCCATCATGGCTTGTTATTGTTGTTTTTCCTTGAAACATGGTTAGGAAGAAAATGATTCTTAGTTGTGGCATAAATTAGAAGTTTTGGTGAGAACCAGGTATACCAGAATAAGAAAGGAATTTGAATATCATTCAAGTGAGGATTTGGAGCCTAGCAAGATGCACAAGCCTAGCACACAGTATTGCCAGGGCTAGAGTCCACAGATGCAGCAAGGACAACAGTAAAAGCAAATGTAAGTCAAACTAAATATTTAAAAACTCATGCAAGAAGGAGTTGGATAAGATAAATAGTAATGAAAACTGATGTTAATCAATTCTTTATTCTGTCTTAGACAGCTGATTAAGTTATTACACATTATCACGTTAAACCTCATAAAAACCACATGAGGCAGGAGTTTAAAATAACATTTTACTTAATTCTTTGAGAATTTCATGCAATATATTTTGATCACAGTCATGCTCCACCTTCCACCAACCCCTCACAGATTGGCCCATACCTCTTTACCTACCCACTTCAGTCACCCATGCATGATCAACCAACCAGGAGCCATACCTTTGACGAGAACTAACTCTGCCTCTTCCAGAAGCTATCAGTTGCCAATAGCTCCTCAGCTAGGTACAGGACTTCATGCTTACTCCACCCCCAATTCGTGCTGGGGTTTGCTCTGGCTCTAGGTTTTGTGGGTTTTGAACATGCTATACTGTTACTACTGTGAGTTTATATTACACTCAGGATGACTGTTTCTAGCTCCATCCATTTGCCTTAGAAATTCATTTTTCTTAACAGATGAATAGTATTTCCTTGAGAAGGTATATCATGTTTTCATTATCTATTAATCAGTTGATAGACATCTAACGTGTTTCCATTATTCATATTGTTAACAGATCAGCAATGAACATGGATGAGCAAGTATTCGAGAAGGATATAGTGTCCCTTGGGTGTATGCCCAAGAGTGATATAGCTAGATCCTGGTATATCCATTTCTAACCATCTGAGAAGCCTACGCACTGATTTTCATAGTGACTTCACCGGTTTGCAATACTACCAGCAGAGAATTGGGCTTCCTCTTTCCCCACCTTCACAGTGCTATTTTTGTCCTTTTTAAAAATCATTTCTACTCTGATTAAGGTAAAATGAAATCTCTCTGATGGCGTAACTTCAATAAAACTTTAAAAAATATTTGTCAGCCATTTGTATTTCTATCCTTTGAGAACTCTGTTTAATTATTTGCTGTGTTTTTTAATTGGATTTTTTTCCCTCAATGTTTCACTTTTCAAGTTCTTTTACAATCTTGATAATAACCTTCCACCACATGTATGGTGAAGAGGCAGGAGTTTCAGTACCTCATTTATACGTAAGACCAATGAGGCTGTGTGAGGTCAAGGAACATGTTCAAGATGATCAGTCAATGCCTCTAGTCCCAGCTGTCCTTCCTTTCACTCCATCATAGTTGAATAGGCTCAGACTGAAGGGTAGGTGTCTGGGTCCATAAAGATGGCTCTGCTTCATCTTGGCTCAAGGTCAAAGAGTTCAAAACTGTCCTTCGTAAGTTATAAGACCTAAAGGTCTTGTGGGCTACTGTAGGATGTTTTGATCATGGTAGAGGATGTCTTATCTAAATAACAACAGACTTGGTCTGAAGTGTGGTTACTCTTGACCTTAAGACAAGATAACAGGAAATTGAGTCTAAGGTATGGTTACCAAATGTTTGGAAGATAAGACCAGATAACAGGAAATTGAGTCTAAGGTATGGTTACCAAATGTTTGGAAGATTAAGGAAAGAAAGTCTGTTTGTTCCTTATACAAAATAAAGAAGTCTTTTGCCATGTCCCCCTTTTAGTTGGGGTACTTAAGAATGTTGAAGAATAAACTTAGGGTATCCAGTATTCACTGGATTGCACTCCTGATTCTATCCTGTGTCTATGTCTTTCTTAGCGTCTTTACCTGCCCTTTCTCAATCTATACTCCCCCTCTCAGGGACGGACACAGGTTAATACAGATTTGGCCCGAAACCTGGAGCTACTACAGATGGCTGCAACAGGTGGGAAGAGCAGGAAAGTGTATTTATTTTTTTTCCTTGAAGAAAAATTTGCAATTCAAGTAGCATCTCAAAGATCAAACTAATTACACTTTTTACATCTTAACATTCCAACATGGACAGTATGTGGTAGTCTTGGCTGCAGAAGTGAAGTTATCTTTGCGTTAGGAAGCCAGACATTTAGGGGAAAAATTAAAAACCTAAATCTCTCCATCACGAAATGTAGAGTTTGCAGTTTAAAGTGGAAAGAAACCATTAAATGAGTCAAGGAAAGGGTTCCCACTTGCAAAGGCTGTGTGAGCTTCTGTGATGATCTGAGATGTGGATAGTGTTTAGTTGATTGGAAGTTTGGGATGCTCTGTTCATTGAAAACTTTCATTGTTTTGAAAGGTTTAACTTTTTTTTCATTTTTTTTATTAAATTATTAATATTTTCACATGTACTTTCCCTCTCCCTCTCCCTCCCCCCACCTCCATTCCTTCTCCCCCACCTCCAACCTACCCTCCACCCCATCCACCCGCCACTCCCCAGGCAGGGGCGGGCCCCCCACCGCAGGGGCCTCCCCATTGGCATCCATGATCAGGGGGCTGGATTAGTCCTGTACTGTCCTCCCAAAGAGCATCTGGGGTCGATATGCTTTCCCTTTTTCAGGCCAACTGTTTCTGTGGGTTTCTCCAACCAGGTACAGACCCCTTCGTTCTTCATTCCTCCCTCTCTTCAACTGAGTTCCAGATTTCAGCTCAGTGTATTTCTGTGGATGTCTGTCTCTGCTTCCATCAGCCACTGGGTGAGGTTTAACTTTGTGTCTCAGCTTCTTTACTCTTTTCAGATGTAGCACAGTGAGAAATGTTTCTGAAATAGCACCCTCCCCAGGAAAGAGAATAGAATGGGAACATGTTCAATTAAGCTGTTTTTATTTTTGTAATATAGAATGAAAGTTCTTCGTTACTGGAGGAAGATTATACAGGATCAGCAAAGCTTAATACATCAGTAGTGAAGTGCCCTTCACAGTTACACTGTGACACCCTTGAAATGGACTTGACAAGAACTGAATGTCATGTCCCATCTAGGAACTATAGTTTTTTTTTTTAAAGATGTTTTTCTCACTTTGTAAAGAAGAAAATAATTACCAATATAAGAAAGGCAACAGTCATTAAATAAATTAAAAGCATTTTTAAACTTTTTCCATATACATATAATATATATTTAAATTGCTATTGACTGTACAAGCATTAAACTTTCAACTAAAACATTTACAGAAATTAGTGTGAAGAGTTGAAGGGAAAGCTTGGTTTTTAGAAAAAGGAGATAATTTTATTCCTTGTAAGATACATTAAAACACCAAGAAATCAGACTTACCCAATATTTCTTACTTAGCTGCTTATTCATCCTTACATATCAGGTATGTGTAGCTATTCTCTAACCCAACCTTGATTCAACATGTCCAGACATTTGTTACTTAGTAGCACAGAGAAAATTTAAAGCTTCAAGATTAACTGAATAATGTAGTTACATAAACATTGCATAAGTCATACTGATGATAGTATTACTCATAGTTGTATATGAAATATTCAATGGGTAATAAGACTTTTATACAGAAATAGTAGAACACTATATTAATGGATAAATGATCGTCAGTTCATACAGAGTTAGGTGGGTGTAAAATCCAATCTGGAATACTGCAATCCTGAGACCTAAGGCATTCAGTCTTCCAGTTTCCTTCTACAGCATCAGATTCTGAGAATTATATAATATTTACACAGCTTACAAAGAAGAGTTCTTAAAATACTGCATGGATATAGGTAATCCCTTAACTGGAATTCCAGAAAACAGTTATCAGAAAAAGAATGCATAGATTCAAACCAGATGGGATCCCAGCTCTAAGAGGGGGTGGTAGACATAGGCTCCTACCCCTAACCAAGAAACTGTCTGCAAATGATACTCTCTTGAAAAGGGAAAATTAGTTTTCTCCAATAGAGTGTCACTGGGTATATTAACCACACTTCAGGAATAAATGGTCAACACAAGACTAACCCTGTAGTATTTTTGTAAACTTTTTGTTTAAAAATTAATTGTTTTCTTTTTTAATGTCTCTCTCTGTGAGTTTGTGCCTGTCTCTGTCTCTGTCCCCCCACACCTGTGTGTGTGTGTGTGTGTGTGTGTGTGTGTGTGTGTGTGTGTGTGTGTGTGTAAGACTGGCTGGGGCAGTGCTTGAGAGGGAATAGAGGAAGAATGAAATTGAGAGGGAGAGAATAGAGATGGGACTAGCAGGTTTTACTTAGAAAGTAGCATTTTAAATTGTAATGCTTTCCCCATCAATCCCGATATTGTATAGGAGAGTTCTCAAAATCTTATGGGCGCACTGTAAGGAAACTTGTACCTAACTCATTGCAAAATAGACACTTTTAAAAATATTCCATTAAATAAAGCTTTATTAATTAAAGTGTCAGTCAGTTTACTTTAACTCCCACTACTAAAGTATTTTTAGCAGTCAGTTTTTTTCCATATATACCATAGTGTACCCCCAACTTAGTACATGTTGCCATGATGGCTAGCAGCTGTTCAGACCTCCATTCCCATTGCTAAGAAAATGTCAAAGCTCAATGTGTGCTGGTTTTAGCATGTCAGCTGCTAATCAAAATGAAATACTAATTAGTCAATTTATGGACAGCATCACATGAAGATTATAATAACAAGAGGACTAGAGAGCTAATAATTTCAGGAAGTACTTCTGAAATTTGCTTAGAGCAGATGAAAATACATGTTTAAAAATGCGGTGCAGGAGAGCTACATCTGGGTTTTCAAAAATGGAATTCCTGATTCTCTTTTTCTGGAACTCAACAAGATGAGAACATCCAGTCAGATGGCTGGGTCAAGCATCGCTCTTGACATACTCTTTTGGATTATCAGTGGATGGGGCTCATCAGAATATAACAGTTTAAAAAAAGGAATACCATGAATATAGAGCCATAGAGCCACATTAAGAAAAAAATTAGCAAAGGTACAGGTACCCAGCACACGTATACACACACTAGCACTCAGTACACAATAATTCAACTCAAACCATAATTGTGGAGAAAAATCAAGGCTAAACAGGTCTTGAAAATGTTTTAGATGAATGTCAAGTCCAGCTGGGTGTTTAGTAGGCTGGGTTGCTTGAGAATCTAAGGCAATAAATCTAATAAAACCACAAGAGTCCTATCTAGGTCCCTTTAGTCTCTAGAAGAGTAGAGACAAATGATGTTATTGCTGGTATTTCCCATCTTGTTTTAAAGCCCAACACAAAAATAAGTCAACATGTTCTCCAACACTCCTAAAAACAATTTGAGTAATAGTTTTTTTTCTTATGTGATTAAAAAAAAAGAAATAGATGTCCACCTTTACTAAAATCTTACTTTTAGTCACATTTAGAAGAAAATACAGTCCAGTGCTTGGTGGAAATCTTCACTCTATTTGTTCATTCTCTTTATGCTATAAAAGATCTTTTGGGACAAAATGCATTGGCACTGCAAAAAGTAAAAATTAAAAAATGAAAGAAAGGGAGAAAGAAATAGTCCATAAAACCCAACTAATGATTGAATTGAGTGTTCGAATTCATTCTCTGCTGGGTTATCTACAAGCACAGGAGTCCACTGTCATGTTAGGGTACACCTTAAGCACTACATTCTTGTTTTCATCAAAGAATAAGATGCTGAGTGAAGACATCTTTTCTGGCACACAACAAGGCTCAGGAATTCCAGAGACGACCCCCACTGCTCTCACTATACTCTGAATGGTCGCATGATTTGATGGCTTCAAAGACTGGAACGAGAAATAAGAGCAACATGTTAGTTGAAACTGCTTTGCCCCCAGACCTCATCACATAAAATGGATTTGTTTGTGCAGTTCTAAAAAAAAAAAAAAACCTACACATTGAATATTCATCCCAAACTCCTCTACCTACAAGGATGGATCATCTATCAAGTGCTTGCTATGCTCCAGGAATTTTGTAGGTGGTGCCTTTAATCTTCACAACAAATTGGTTACATTTTTGCAGAGACTCAGGAAGTTAAATGACATGTCTGAAGTCAAACAGCTGGAGAATAGTAGAATGAAACTTTGAACTCAGTTCTGTTAGCAGGAAATATTTAATTAGAAACAACTTAACCCCAAACCATGAAATTAATGTATTCTTCATGATTTTTATTACAATGACAGAAAATTGTCCTTGACCCTCTATGAGCCTTTAAAGAACTCTAATAAACACACTAACAGAGAAAACCATCACCAACTATAAAGCGAAGTTTATTCACTTATTAAAATAAAGTTAGGTAGGACAGAAGGCTACTTATTTATTTTGTAGGCAGCAAAAGGATGAGTCTTTGGTTACTATTCCACTCATATTACACAATTATTCAGTTCAGACTAGAGATTGGAGTTGACAAGACCATACTATTGACCACTGGGGGTCACTGTTGCTCCATGGGCAGCTTAAACTGGATAGCTTGGTGGTCTAAGGTGGGCCATGTCCTCTGGGAATAAGGTCTGGGTCTGAGGTTTTCATATGGGTGTCAGGAGTTTGATCAAGGAAGCCTTGGTTAAATCTCTTCCCTGAGACAATAGAAGGCATTTACTTAGAAAGTTGCATACAGCTCCACTCTACCCAAAAGTGTGGAAAAGAGTCACAATCTCAAGCTCAGAACGGTAGAAGAACGCCAAAGGATAAGCCACAATGTTGGTGACTCTTCAACTCTCCTGGTATTTTTTTTCTTAGGTGGGTGAAATTAGAAACAGAAATTTGAGAACTCAGGTTATGGCTCAATAGAATATTTACCCACCATGTGATGGTTTGATCCTCAGCTACCCCTCAATAAAACAAAGACAACAAACAAACAACCGAGCATGATGCTGAATGCTTGCAGCCCTGACTCTTGAAAGCAGAAAGATAAGGAGCTCAGTTTGATGACAGCCTCATCCACAACTGTAGGTGAAGGTCACCCCAGGGTTACCCAAGACACTACATCAACAGAAAGCAAAAACCAAACCAAAAGCAAAGCAAACAACAACAACAAAAAGGAGGACAATTTCCAAAAGATGGACAATATTATTAAAACTAAAACTCTCATATTTCTTTTCAGTCAGAGGCTTTGGGATCCATGAATTGGGACTTTAATTCCTGACCTGTTAAGAACACCAGAACGGAAAAATGGGAAAAGTTAGAAGGCCTAAGACACTCCCAGGGCAGAGGAGAAGTAATGCAGAAAGCTGATGTACTGTAAGCAAGATTAAAACAAGTTAAAGAAAAGATGTGTGCTGGCAGAGGAAGGGAGATGTTATCTGAATCATTCCATCTTTTCATTTCAACAAGAAGAATCCATATACTACACTTCAATTTTTGTGAAAAAATACTGTAAAAAAATCTACTGGTTTTATTCTTGCTTCATACTGATTTGAAGAATATTTTTTAAAATAGCTTTAATTAGTTAATTAAATGGTTAATCAGCTCTAATTGATTACAGAACAAGGTATTCTCACCCCCACAAGTCTTCGAAATTTACTGGAACTGCCATCAATGTTGTAACACAGCAGTGAACAACTGCATTACTATTACTGATTTTCACAGGCAACCTTTGCCACAATCCACTTTTTCTATTTTTGATTGAAAGCAATGTGGAAGACTCAACCCATCGAACAGCTTGTTGTTAAAGCCTCAGAGGCAGTTTTCTGATGTCATTCTCTATGGTTAGTATTTAATGCCTAGATGTCTCGTAGTGTGGATGGCCTTAATTAGAATACTTGAGCAATTAGCATGGCTATGCACTGATTCCCCTAGAATGTATATCTAGACACTGGAGCAATGTTGCTAAACGGCTGAAATACTTAGAAGAAATAGCATACTCTTCATTTTACCCATTTATGAGAAATGACTCCTATCAACAAAAATAAAAGATTCTGTGCAAGTGACTTGGTGTAGATATGGAAAATATTCGTGGGTGTTTCCTAGGGAAAATTCCTGTCCTTTTTTTTTTTTTTAATCCAAGTCAGAACTGATGTGTTCAGAAACAGAGTATATGAGTAGTCTCTAGTGGGCTCGCCAGAACCAGGCCCAAGCCCTTGATTCTGGGGTAGTGTTTTGTATCAGGGACCTCTCAGATGACTAGGGAGTATCCCCTTTTTCCTAGCTGTGGAATCCTCTGATGGAGCTACCATTACCAGAAATGGTCACATCATGCACAAATAATCCATGCTGTCATTTGCTGCTGTGAAGCATGCTGCCAGCAAGACGTTTTGTTTTCGAGCTAGGATCGTGTTTCTCATGACTCCCTCTTCTGAGCTTAGAGCTGGTGCCAATCACAAGTGAGAATCTGTGCTTCGTTCCTATCCATCACTCTCTTTAATGATACTGTGCACCTTCCACATCAATTCAGGTGTGAATTGGCTGAGTTTTGTAGAGATTTCGTGTTTATAGTGTTCATTTTCATGACTGAGATTAGAGCGGGAAGATCTAGAGAGTTCTTTAAGAGTCTATCATTTTGGATTAATTAAATGTGAATCTCTTTATATGGAACTCCATTCAAAGTATTTCAATTATTTGTTGCCTAACTCTATATCTCTGCTATTTCTAGCTTTTGCACAATTCCTTGCAGAAATAACTTCATTCCTCTAATCCTTGTTGGTTTCTTGGATCTCTGTCAGGAACCATGGCTCAGTCATTTTCATTGGAGATTTCTGTTTTCCATCGCAGCTGAGGTGGTGAGGGAGGCAGAGGCATAGAACTTGGCTCTGGCTATCTGGGTATTTTTCATCATATGGCATCATTCCAAGAGTCTCGCTCTGGGAGAACAGACTGGCTGTAAGAGCCAGAAATCAGAATTAAAAAAAAAAAAGAACCCGGAACTGTTGTATCTGTGAATGAAACCTTCAGTGGTCAGGCTCGCACCTGCCAAGCTGGAGACGAGGTCCTCTGGTTAAATTTGATTACAGACACATTGGAAGGGGAGAGTATGTCATCAGCTGAGAACCTTCATTCCTGACCTGGGCCATGAGGTTTTGCTCCATGCTCTTCCAGTCCAGCCCACATGGGTGTGATGGCCCAGAAAGTATCTAATTGGAATCAGTGAAAGGGCAAAGCCTGGAATTCAGGAAAGGCAGAACACAGCTGTTCCGAATTATAGAGCAGGTTGTCAACTTTTGCAGACGAAGCGCTCGGCCATATAGGCCAGGCTTTCACCCAGGAGGCCAAAACCAGGAGGCCCAACAGAGGAGTCTGGCCTGGGAGAGCTTTCCTCTGAGGCAAAATATATATCTAAAGTCTGAAAGTTCTTTGGCACTTCAGTCAGCCCACATGTGCTGTACTGATTTGATGAGAGACCTTCATTTTCCTCTGCTGGTCAGACTGTATTTTTATTTAAATATCTCATTCTGGATGCCACACCAGACACTGTGCTAACAGCAGTGCATATAACTACCCCTTCCTTTTACACTTATTTCCCATCCTCCTTTGTTACCATGCTGACTGAAAGATACAGAGCCACTAGGGCTTAAAGGGAACCCATAGCACACGTTAAAAGTTAAGCAGTTCCACACAGGGCAATGCTAAACTTCCACTGGACTTGGCGAAAGGGAATAGCAACTTCAGAGAAAAGACCTCCACATGAATGTCTGTTATGTGTCCCTGGAGCTCTGATGCCATTCCAAGTTTCAACAAATATTATGATGAGTCCAGTTACTGCCACAGATCCTCTCTTATTCCATTCTCCCCCGAAAAGAACCTCACTGTAAGAGCTCATGGCTGCTGAACCCAGAGGGAGGATCTTGTTTTCAGTTTTGTGATGCTTAGAAAAGGACTCAAAACATTAACAAAACCTTTCTTGCCTCGTGGCTTTCCTTTGCATGTTTGCTCTCCTTACACAGCATTTCCTTAGACATCCCTTCTGTTCCATTCAGTCTCCTCAATGGCCACTGTTCAGGTGTTTAGCAAATAGTGACCGAGTACCCACTACTCCATGTAGGTTGCTCTGCTATTTCAATTGGTCATTGCGTTTGTTGTGCAGGTCCTGTTAATTTTATTATTTTCTACTTTACCTATTTCAAAGAAATGGGATAGCATGTAGAAAGTTTGATCGATTTATCCAAAAGGCCATTGTTGCTTAGTGGTGGAGCCAAAATTCAAGCCTAAGGAAAGTGTCAAGTCTACTGTCACAAAAAGAGTTTTGTGAATCAGCAGCAGCAGTGTCAGCTGAGGGCTTGTTAGATGTGCAGCATCCCCTGTTGCCTCCTCTGCATGTGCACTGGATCAGATACCATGTATTCACAAGATTCCAAGCAGTTTAAAGGCACGCCAAGGCTTTAACATTCCTGCCATGACCAAAAGGGTGGTTTAGTTGTGTAGATGCTTTTCCTGAAATTTATCTCTGTGGTTACTAACTTGTCCCATGGCAACTTTCAAAGTAGGATTCTTTTCAGTTTCATTTAACATTCTTCTAAAGAGACAGTGGATTTATAAATAGAGACAGGAAAAAGGAAGTTAAGAGGCACAAGTGGGGAGGATCTATGGAGAGGTGGAAACTGAGTCCTCTAGAGTTCAGGATGGAAAGCAAATGGATTGAGCATTTACATTTGTATGTTTTTCTGGAGACCGAATGTTGGAGTGATGAAGGAACAGAAGAAAAATTTCTCCAAGGTACCCAGAAGAAACTATAGCTAATGGGAGTGAGGGGGGTTATTTGGGTAAACCCTAAGACCTACCTAAAATCAGTCACTCAGATCTTAAAGCCAGTTTTGAATTGCATCCCCATTTCTCAATGTCACAAGGCAAGCCACACTGTAAAATAGGACACCTCTCTACTTTTTCTATTTACCATCTTTACTACACACAGGTTGTTAAATGTCACTCCAGTTGGACACATTTCACCTGAGCAGCAAAGGTCCTTAATGAATCACAAGATAAGACAGGACTCTTGATACAGCCCCAAATTCATAACCCTTAATCCAGGTTGTATTCTTAAAATAGAAAGTTACAAAAATCCTCTGGAATGATAGCTTCGTGGGAAATGTGCAAAGCTTATCTTTCTGAAATAACTAGCAACAAAAGCAAGATTTCAGATAGGTTGCTGGCTCTGAGGCTGATCTGACCTTGTGTCTTCAGCCCTTTTGATGTGTAGGCCAATCAGTGACTATAGAACATAGAATAGCAAAATAAAGACCCATAAGCTGAAATTGCCAGGCTAAGGGCTGAAGATTTTCTATATTTTTAGGCAGGAGCAAACAAAACAAAACACCAAACCAAAACAAAAAAAATATCCTCCCAAACAAACAAAAATCCAAAAAAAAAAAACTGTTTCAGATTTTATTAAAAACCCACATTGATTCCTCTTCTGAATTCTGTCCATTTAGTCACCTTTAAGTGTGTGATAGAGATTTAAACTGTGTAAGCTGAGACTGGAAGTGAAGCCATAAGCTAAACCTGATGCTGAGGGTGTGGCTAATTTTTACTATAGACTGTACTATTTATACTCCAGCGCAAAGCAAAGAGAACTGCCATTTGGACTTGCTTGGAGAGACAGACATTGGAGTTTGAACAACACACTTATATGCTAAAATGCATCCCCCAAAGTTCTGGAAATATACAAAGGGGTAAAGGCAATTTCTGACAGGGTTAGATGGACCTTGGGAGAAGTCACTGTCATTGTATCCTGTTTTGCTTTGCTTCTCTCTCTCTCTCTCTCTCTCTCTCTCTCGTTTAGCAGTCAAGCAAATGAAATCAATATGTGTTGGGTTTCAGGCCAGCCTACCTAACCAAACCCTGATCTTGACCAGCATGGGGACAATTCACCTCATGAGAAACTTTATCCACATCAGGGCACCAGACCCATTGTTCCTTCACTTTGCTTCCACAATATTCGTAATCCCTTTAATACCATGCATAGATCAGCTTCTGCCATCTGGGGCTTGCTTACTGTGGACAGGTGTATATTCACAAGTGACCACATGGCTGGATATGTACCATGTTTAGAAACAAAAAATGCATATTTTATACATGTGGTTTTCATAACCTTCATACCTCATATTACTTTTAAAAAGCATCAAAGAAAACCCAAGCATAACCACATTGCCCATTATGCTATACTTTAGAAAGTTATAAATAAGGTTCTGAATAGAGTTTCTTAAATGGAAACATGCACTCAGTGTGCTCTTCTACCCCATGCAAAAACAAAGCAAGCACAAGGTAAAGAACAGTGGCTACCTTTGGCATGGGGAACTGGCAGGCTCCGGAGCAATAATAAGCATCAAATGACTTGGGGGAGATAATCCATTCACTCCAGCCAATATCAGCAAAGTCCACTTTGAGGTACCTCCTGGCACAATTTCGAGGTTCGATCCATTGCTTTCGTCTTGCCTTCTTCAGAGTCTGTTCATCAAACTGCAGTGTCTGGCCCTTCTGATGAGGCCCTTTCCTTTGCTTCTTTTTGTTCTTGCTCTTTTCAGGGGGCTGAGTCTGAAGGGTCTTGTAAGGCTTTCTCTGCTCCCACACTCCATCCTCCTTGTATTGATACTCTGCCCCAGGTAGCTCATTGTTCTGCAGAGGCAACAAGATTCCAGTAGAACGCTTCTTCCTCCTTTCAACAGAAAGGGCAGCTCTGATGTGACTATCCAGTTTGGGTACAGTTCCTTCGGGGATATCTCTGTGTCTCTGTAAGCTAGATACCACACTTTCTGGCTCAGAAATGGCAGCATCATTGGCATATACCAAGATATAAGGCTCTGGGAAAAGCAGCACCCTCTTGGGCAGTTCCTGTGCTCTGGAAGTAATGTTAAATCCTATGAGGAACTCCTCATTTTGCCTGGCCTTCCTTAAGAGCTGGGTGATGTCTTTTGACAGCCAGGGCACACTGTCTCGATAAGGTTTGACCACATCTACTGACAGGTGACCCACGGGCTGACTTTGATTGGATTTGAGGATCCATGCAGAGAGGTCTATCTGGATGTGTTGTCTCTGTGTGTGATGGGAGCATCCTTGAGATACTGGACAGCTCAAGCTGATGTTCACTAATTCTCCAATACAGAAATACAGTGTGGCTGACAAAATGTTCTCGGACTTAGTTAAAGAAGTCAGATTAAAAGTGTGCAACCCCTGTCTTTGAAGAGTTCCTAGGGAAGAAAAACATAAAAAAGAGAAACTTAAGTAAATGGGAGCTACTATTACTTTATACACTATTCAATATTCAAGTCAAAATAAATCAGTACTCTAAATATATCAGCTAAAGCCTTAAAATCCTTAGAAGAAGAAATTATGGGGATAAATCCTCATGGTTTTAGAGTTGGTAACAGCTTCATGCATATGCCACCACGTGCATTCAGTGAAAGGAAAAAACATATCAGTAAATAAAAGTTCTAAATGAAATGGACTTTATCAGAGTTAAATGTCTGTGCATCAAAGGTAAGTATCAAGAAAATGAAAAGATGATCTACAGAATTTGATAAAATATCAGCAATCCATGTGTCTAAAACTTTAGTAGCCAGAACACAACACATAAGTGGCAGCTTTAATTCAACAGCAGAGATGCCGATACGAGCAAAGGACTTGAGAAGATCTATCTCCAAAGAAGATTTGCAAGTGGCTGATAAGACCTGAAAACATGTTGAAAATCGTCAGTTACTGGGGAAATACAATTCAAAACCTCAATGTTGTGACACATACTATAGTAGTGTGGCTATCAAAGACGACAACAAAAGGCCTCAAATACCAGAAAGTTTGCTGGAAGAAACTGGAGCTCCTTCACTTTACTAGGGTAGATATACATTGGTTCAGCTGCTGTGGAAAAAAAATTTGGCATTTACTCAAAAAGTTGAACCAGGAAATTAACATATGATAAAGCAATTTCTCAGAAACTGAAGACAGGCACGAAAGTAAGTGTATTCACAGTAGCCAAAGGTCGTAATGGCCCAGATGATCATCAGCCAATGAACAGATAAACAACTTGTAGTGTTTATAAGACAGAATACTATTATTGGGTTAAAACATGAATGAACCTTGAAACGTTATTCAAGACAAAGAAACCACATATGAAAGCTCACTTACTGTTTAATCTCACTTGCATTAGGCTATCTAAACTAGTTAAATCCAGAGATGGGAGCAGAGGGGTTCCCTGGGGGTTAGAGCAGCTTGGAATGAGAAGAAACTCCACAACAGTTCTGAGGCTTTACTCCTAGTTAATGGAAATAATTCCAAACAAGTCAGAGTTTGCAATAGTGAGGCATTCTGATGATATGACTGCCACTATATTATCTGTTCACTTTAAAATGGCTCATTTTATGTCATGTGAATTTCACTTTCATGAAAAACAGCAAGGACGGGTATGTGGGAGTGCTTGGGGGGAGGAAAGGGAAGGGACAAATTATCTCATTATATTATAGTCTCAAAAGAAATAACTTTTTAAAAGAGGAAAACAACACAGAATAAAAATTGTGCAGAGTGAATTTTAAAGGAAGGCTACAGCCATGAACGGTCAGCTTCACTAGTTTGCTCTTTGTTGAAGCACCATAAACGTGTGGGAATTATAGCACACTAGCACACAGTGTGTGTGTAGCACACTTAGTACAGGTGATGTGTGAGCTCTGGAGAATTCCAAGACCTGTGTCTCTGCACCTCACCACAGCTGCTCCTGTGAAACATTTATCCATCCTTCTGGTGCAAGCAGAGGGTTGAGAATTTGACCTGGATTTAATTACAGACTCAGTCACTTATTAACTTTGTAACTCTGGACGAGCTAGTACTCTCATTCATAAAATAGAAAGACTCTTATAACAGACACTCCAAAACTGCTTTGAACAAAGAACATGGCCTCCCCATTGGGTCACAAGGCCACTGACAGCAGCATGACAGCCTGGCATCTTTTCATTCATTTTTCGTCTCTCTCCTTCACTCTGGATCAGATTCTTGCTCAGCTGGACCAGACTTGTCACTGGCTGAAGGAATGTCTGCCTGAAATCTGGTGATGCAGAATGACTAAGCTCCCAAAGTACCTAGCTATGTCTCCCTTCTAGTATAAAGGCACAGAGACAAGAGCAACTAAGGTATTTCACAGTCAGCTTTTGCAGTGCCTCATTCTGAACCCCTTCTCTGAGGGGGGCTTTCAGTATCAGTCAGTATCCCAGATCTGCAGCCACTTTGAATTCCAGGCACAGGGAAGCTTTATAGGCAAAGTTGACCTTATGATGGGGCTATTGCTAAAAGGGAATGATTACATCAACATAGGAGCTGAAGCTGCTGCTATACCCCGATAGGAAACATCATCTTGGGGACCACATTGTCCCTTCAAGTGATAAGGAGTTGCTTGAAGAATCAGACCTGAGGGAAAAAAAAGCAGTCAGACCATGATTTGTCTGGGACTGCTTCCTGAGACCTATCCTTGGCATCCTGCCCCAGTTCTTCTGTGTAAACTTGAAGCTCACATCAGTACCCTCAAGATGAGCTGAGACATTTCATTTATCTCAGCTGCCTTTCTGTTATTGCCACATTGATTAATTCTTTGCCCACCTTCCCATTCCTACTTTTGCATCACAATCTTTGTGTGAGGAGCCACATCTAATTTGTTGGAAACCACCAAACTAGTCTTTGGCTACAATGTCTATGTCCTGCATCATCAGAATGAATAAGATATATGTGATGTTTATAAAAGTTCTAGTGTTTCTTAAATGTAAATGCAAATTACCGTTGTGATCTGAGCCTGAATTTACATTATTATAGGAATTATGGCTCCTTCTACCTACTTTGCAAGTAAGATCTTGGTATTTGGATACTGTGTCTGAATAAATGAGCCACACCTTTAAAAATGCAAAATCATGGTATTGTTGTTCAGCTTGTCTGAAGTTCAGGATTCCAAAAATTCAAAATCTAAACTTACATAATTCAAGAAAAATGATTGAAATTGTTAAGTCATATTACTAGCTCTTCTAATTGAGAAATTAGCAACAGAAAGAACAGGAAGCTGGTTAGGAAAGGAAAAAAAAAAAAAACAAGTTCTCTTCGGGATCCACTACTGAGTTCCAGTGAGACTGAGGTTGGACCTGAAGAGTCTAGACCCTGGGGTTTGTCCCAGAGAGCCCGCCTCCATGCACTTGTTCAGTATACATACTTATTTCAGAAACACATGCACAATCGTGAAATTATGTTCTTGATCAAAAACATGTTTCAGTAAAAACAAAACATTTTTATAAAGATGTGGAAACTTACAGTGAGTTCATCAAGTCCCCAAGCATGGGGGAAGTGCAATGGGAAACATATTTTACTCATTTTTAACGTTGTGTGAAGCAAAAGGAGGAAACTGCCATTTGTGCACATTTGTATAATCCATGACACTGGGATAATATCTTACAGACCTTTATAACAAAGCCATGGCATCAGGGCTGTTCAGGGGCTCTGCCCTTAATTCAGCCCAGTCGCCACAACATATACTTTACCCAACATCCACATAGCTGAGGGGCATTTTAAAATGCAAGGAAGAGAAGGAAGGCACCTCATTTCAAGTCCATGGCAATCAAAGGCTGCCCACAAGCACACTGGTGGGTAATTGAACTCCAAAGGATGGGGTGCCACTCTCTCACTTGGTAAACTCATCTTGCTTCTTCCTTCTTCATCTTATCTCTGAATATTTCATTCTTTCAAGCATATTTCTTCTTGCCTTGCAACCGTCTATCATTTAGCCTCTAACCCAGCTCCAACCTTCAGTGTCAATTAACTCAGAATTCTCTCACATTGCCTTCTCCTCCTATTTCTCTAATTTTAGCCCTGTATCTTTTCTTGAAGTTAAAGCCCTATGACCAAGACTCATGTGTACTGTAGACAATAGCTAAGCTCCCAAATTGCTGGTCCCCCCATCTATAAAGCACACTTGGTAGTATCAACTATAGAACTATTGTGAGGATTTATTGAAAGAACTCCAGTAAAACACACAGCACACAGACCCACTATCAGCTAACTAGAAGCTCATTGTCTGAGATGATAGTGTCTAACTGAGACATGCTGGAAATATACAATACTCCCTGACTTTCAAAGGCCTCATACAAATAAGAATGCAACATATTACATGCATATACTAAAGCTTTTCATAGAGTTGAACAAATGAGTATAGAGCAATAATTAAAAGAGTGGTATAACTACTGATAAGAAACTTCCCACCATGGTCATGAAAGAATCTCTAAGTTCAGTGGGTTGTGAACAGACAAAATAAGACGGGAAGGGGAAGGGGGCACTTACTGGAAAGAAGAAGAGGTTCAGTAGGAGGGAGGAGGATGAGACAAGTAATTTAGGGTAAAATGACTAAAATTCATTGTATATATTTGACACTGTAAGAGTAAATTTTTAGAGTGGGATAAATGCCTCCCTATGAGAAGTACATGACAATTGTCAGCATTTACTTTCAGACTTTTTCTACTTTGAGATCTTAAAGTAATTTAACTTTCCAAATAATTTCTTTCTTTTTTTGCAATAGGCTCTCATATTATATCCCAGGCTAGCCTGGAACTCACTTTAACCCAGTTTTGCACTGGACTAACAGCAATCATCCTGCATCAGCCTCTGAAATGTTAGGATTATAGGCATAAACCACCCTGTCTAACCTTCAAATAATTGTTTTCATATAATGAAAGGAAATAGGAATTTTGCTTTTGTTTCTCTTTATCCACAAGTCTTTGCACAACTTTGCTTGCACACTTAAGTATCTAAGTTTAAACATCAGCCAGTAAGAGAAAAGTGCTTTAATACCCACTGTTTATATTTTGAAGAAAGCAGACACATATGGATTTGAGCATAGTAGCAAACCTAACTGCATGCTGTGCCTATCAAATACACATACAGCAGGGTGCTTAATTCTAGTACTCTCATCTTAATTACTGATTCAGAAAAGAGTAACTAAGTAAGTAACCAGGATGACAGGGTTTTGGAACCACTTCATAACTTTGGGTCCAATATTTGACCTGGAGAAAGAACAAATGGATTGATACTTATACAAGAATCATTTTTCTTTCCTTTAATTTTTTTTAAAATCAGGGGACAGAGGCTTTATTATTATTATTATTATTATTTATGTATACAGTTATCTGCATGCATGCTTGCACACCAGAAGAAGGCAGCAGATCTCATTATAGTT